TTTTTTTTTCACCAAAACTAATTATTTTTAACTTTGATTCTTGACAACCAGGAGCGAGCACCTGCACTTCAAACACAAGTCTAACCACAATTATACGCGTGGCCGAATGGAAGTGCCTTCGATTTCTAAGACCCGTCTACACGAGCAATTTTTATGTGACAACTATATGTGACATTTTTTTGGGCCGTGTTGACAKGCAGCCAGAAATTATTGTTGAAGACTCGCGCCAACTGTGATTTTACACAGCGGAGATGTCAATAAACAAAACAAATTTAATTACCATAGTTTCGTAGTAGCACTAGAGATAATAAAACTTTAAAAAATACGATATATTTTTTAATAATTTTAATATATTTTTTAAATATATTTTTTTATTTTTATATCTTTTTAATCTTAACATGTTTCAGAAGAATGAGGATGGCATAATGTAATGCTGAAACATGTTAAGATTAAAAAAAATATATCGCATTTTTTAAAGTTTTATTAAAACAAATTTAGTTGGTGTTAGCTCTTGCAACAACAATAATACCATTCTCTCTGTCGAATCCAGTCGTTCTGCTTACTATCGGTGTCGCCATCTTGGTTGGTGTGCAAAATGTTGAGACTTGGATTCAGTGTGACGTCGAAATAATTGCCACATTTATGTGACGCTCGTCCACACGGGAAATTATCGATATGTGACAATTACATAAAAACTAGCATGCCAGCTTTCCAATAACTACAGTTGTCACATAAAATTTGTCCAATTTTGCTCATCTACCGCGGGAAATTAAAAATTGTCACATAAAAATTGCTCGTCTAGACGGGGCTTAATTCACAGGTCTGAAGTTCAAGACTCAGAGGAGCTGACATTTCATTAGATTTMTTTCTTTACCAAAAAATAAATAAATTCAATCAAATATAGAACAGGGAACCCGGTAACGGTAACTTAATGAAAAAATTAATAAAGAACAATGAGAATAAATAAATAGTTTTGAACACAAGTAACGCAGGCTCAAGTTTACAGGAAAGTGAGTGAGTGAGTGAGTGAGTGAGTGAGTGAGTGACAGATTCRTCCCCCTCCAATAACTCTTCGATTGCTTCGCAATCTTCGAGTTAAAAAGGATAGAAGATAGTGTAGTCCAAAAACCCGTGAAACAGAAATTGCACTAATACACCTTCAACGCTCTAATTACACTGTTTTCACGAGTTTAATGACTTTATTCTAATTAAGTACAATTTAGCACTATATTATTTCACACTTATTTACTGGAACCGAGGGAAACAGTATGTTTTGTGGTCCCGAGACCACAAAATATACTGTTTCCCGAGGTTTCCAGTAAATTACTAATTATTACTATTACATGATTTTAGTATTTGCACTCCAGAACTCCCATATTAATTTCTGTGTAAAACCAAGCCCGAATAAATTTTTCCTTGCACCGATAATAGTCTCCTCTCGCAGCCGTTAGGACGTTCGTTCCCAGTGACCTACCAACGTCCTAACGGCTGCGAGAGGAGACTAATCAAGTAACGTGACCGTACAGCCAGATACTGTTCACTAAGATTTTGGCTCCTGATTTCAGTGACTCATCAAATGTACGCTCGAACAACAACATAATATAGGGGTCAACATAACGTGACTTACTGTAAGGGGTTCTCCCAGGCGAGATTTGCCACTAAGTCCTGCATAGGAAAAGCGTACGCGGACATCTCCAACCTGCACAGGTAATAGAAATGATAAAATGAGATCACCTCTTTTGGGAGGGACAGGAAGCCCGACAAAAGGGGAGGCTGCGAAGGAGACTAGCCCCATCTTGGCACTTGATACCGTGATGACTGGGGTAAAACATACCAATCACAAAATAACTTACTTGTGGACTAAAAGGATTATGTGAATGGTAGAAAATACCATCTTGTATCATTATATCGCTCCCTGTAGGAATTTCCTTTGCTTGTAAGCCATGATAGTCGTTAATCTTACCAATAAGACCTGCAAACCGATAAACATTATATCTAAATGACATAAAAATGACACGAACTCAAATGAACACTTTTCAATGCGTATATACATATCCTTGAAAGGTAGATGTAGTGAAGGCAGACCCAGAAACGTTGGTATGCGAGTAGAAGGAAGATAGATAGGGATATTCGCTTATCCGCTGGATTAATCCGCTATTAACTCCTTGTAATAGCCTGCCTAGCCGTAGTGGCTCAGGTTAGGGAGAGGTCAGATAAAAAAAGGAAGGATTACCTTTTGATATTCTAAAGGCCCCAACAAACACGGGATCTGCTTCTTTTACGTAAGCTGACACAGGTATTGATGAAGGATTTTGGTGTCTTGATGGGTTGTCAAAATCATGGCTTGAAATGATCGTCGACTTCCATTCCTTATCTGAAAAATCAACAAAAATGTTCCCATTTTAAATCAAAATACTTGTATTGTGTAAACAAACTTCAAAGCTTCCTTTTGGACTTCAGGTTTACTTGTATTCATATCGCCATAGTAACAGCACTCGGGCAACAAAAATCGCCGCTCGTGTCGCGCAAAAAAAATATTAGTGTTACAGGCCTTTATAACACTACCGGTTCTTTCCGTTATTATAGCGGTTATTAACGTATCCTTCCTAGGGAGTGCAGGGGGGACCTACGTAGCACGCAGTTGATGTAATGTATTCATAAAATGTATTGTATTCCATTGTGTCTCGTTCTATTGTATTATGTGTTTTGTATTATATCTTTAAGAATATATTACATCAACTGAGTGCTACGTAGGCTCTCCCGTTTTGGACCAAGAGAACTGTTTTCTCCGACCCAAACTTCCTCGGAGCTGTTAGCAACGCCTGGTAAAGCATGCTATAATTGGTGAAGAGTAGAATGGGTTCCGAAAAATAGTGCAAGTCATCACTATGGGAACAACTTTATTAGCACATGTGTAAGGAATTGCGATCGTCGCAGTCAAATTACAATAATTATTGATAAATGTATCACCCGAAAAAACATCGAGCTTCAGTGGGAATCGAACACATGTAGTTGCGTATCTATGTATGGGGTTATCATGGGAAATGACCGCTCGCCGACATAGATGCAGGGCTTCATACCTCGGTAGAGCACTGAACCGACATCGCGCAGGTTATGGGTTCGATTCCAGTTGAAGACTGAATTTTTTTCAGTGGGGCGATTTATTTATTAATAATCGCTTAGATTATGATATTTCACTGCAACGATCATTATTCCTTACACATTTATTCAGCGCAGTTTGAACCATCATTTCAGCATTTATTAGCACACTTTAAAGTAACTATTGGAACTTACTGTAACTGAAGGTGGATTCAACTCTTGTTTTATCTCCTTCATTGTATTCTCTGCAAACAAACAGTTTTATGGAGAATTAAATCATGAGCTGCACCTCGACTAAGTCAGGTTTTGTTAGCCCTTCACGGATTTGCAATATCTACGATATTGGTTTATTACTAGCTGTTTGTTGAATAAAAGATAACAATAGAATTTAAGAACGAGGAATAAGGAAACAACGAGCATTGTTTTATTTCTCCATCACAAGAAACCTTACAAACTCGTGAAGGATAACAGCTAAGTTTTGATGACGTAGTTGGTTAACCCCGGGGGGGAAGGAACTCCCAGGGTAAAAGTACCGGGGATGCTCGTCAGAAATTTTGAAAAAGACCTCTAAAAAATCCCGGAAGTCTAGAAAAAAGGGCGTGACTGACTGATCTTTAACCACTAAGAGATTGCACAACAAATATTGTTAAATTAAATAAGTTCCAATGATAAAAACGTAGAAAAAAAAAAAACAAACAAACAAACAAACAATATCGATGCGATCTTTCTCTTATTTTCCGACACCCTAATGACTTTGTAGAAAGTGCAAATATCCAGAAACTCAACTTTGGCACCCAAAAATATTCCCAATCATGAATGTATACCCGTAAGAGATCCGACGAGCATCCCCGGTACTTTTACCCGGAACTCCCCCATCCCCTCCCTGGTTGGTTATCAAGTTTTGGCTTGCAAAATGACAGCTTAGAATAGTCTGCAAACTCAATCATAATTTTGCAGTAAAACTATTACTTGACTATGGTCAAGTCAACAATATAGACGCTACGCATGGTTTGTTAACGATAAAGATTTACTTTGTTGATTTATGTTCCACCCATTGATACATTTCCACTTCTCTTTTTAACTTCACCGCTTTTACAGCAACACTATACTCTCCGTCATTTAGGACCTAAACAAAAAAAGCAACAATTCTGCTATCAGGACAGTGATTAGATTTGCCTGGCAATTGATATTGATCATGAATTTTAGTCCTTCAAATGGGTATAAAAGAACGAAGTCTGTACTCTGATATTGTAGCATAAATTATGTAAATTAGATAGTCCATAGTAATCATGACATTGCTTCGACCCCTCGCTCCAGGACTCGCTCTCTTTTCCGGCAAATCCTGGAACGGGTTTATAGGAGGCTTGGACAGGACTACGCAATAGAAGCTTAAACTTAAAGGGAGATCCTAAAATATCTCCCAAAGAGACGTTTTTACATTTTCGTAGTAGAAAAAGTAAAACTACTTTCATTTTTGCTTAGAAAAATCAAAAACTGCTAGGGAAGACTTTTGTAGAGGACATAAAAACGTACAAGAACTACAACTACCATCATGCTTCGCTGCACAAAATAGTGTCGTTGCGCATTGCCCGAATAAAAGCGATTTAACTTTGAAAACTCTTAGACCAGGTACTGACGTTGATCTTTTGCGACGTCTAACTGCAGCAATTAGAATAGACGTAAAAAAATGACCGATGTCTGAACCGAGCATTTTACTAGTACTCAATGTCAAATTTGAAGTCCCCAACAATGTTTCCTGATAATCTCATCATAGTTAGTACATGTAAGTATATTAGCTCTAGTGAGCTAGAGTACCTGACCGTAGAAAGATCCCTTAATAGGTCAGTGAAAGGACAACGATTGGAGCATGATCACGAATTTTTTTTATACACAAACAAAAATAAATCACCTCATTTTAAAGGCCCACATGCGTCCAAGAGGCTTAGAGCAATTTTCTCACATACAAAGTGTGGCCATCTTTGATTTTGAACCGATCAGAATGCAGCTTTTAACAAGAATTCCTTTGTAAAACTAAAGAATCGACCGCAAAGGTTCATGGGTTTCAATGTTAGTAATGCCATAGCATGGTCACTTTTCGTTTACAAAAATGAATAATTGAATCTTACCATGTCTGTTCTAAGTTGCCCTGAAATGTGAACTAACTTGCCATGATACTGATCCTGGATTTGATCAATTGTATGTAAAGATACAACCTCTCTCAGACCCTCATCAAGAGAGAGAGCTGTCTCAACTGCTCGGCCCTAGAAAATACAGAGCATGCAGTTAAAGCTCACCTCAAATAACATTGTGAATGCACATGCGTATCTTTAAGGTTGCCCTAAAAGTCTTGAAAATCGTTTGGGTAGATTTTTCTGTGACTTAATTTTTCTGTGACAATAATCAAGCCGCCGATGGCAACACAACTCGAAGATTGATTGTGTATACGAATAAAGAACGATACGATGAATCGAATTATAATTACTTGACAAATAGAATTTTGAGTATCTGATTTATGAATATAGTTTTTATTTCGTTATATTTTATTAATTTAACTTCGGTTCTGGATAGCGCCGGCGATCGAGATAAATCCCAGTCTAGCCAAAACTGTGTAACATCACCGCAAGAGTCAAAAAGCAAATTAATAAATAATCAAATGTAAAACAGGGAAACCGGTAACGGCAAATTAATGAGTAAATTACTAGAAAACAATGAAAAATAAATTAATAGTTCTGAATAGTCCTGAAGTAACGCAGGCTCAAGTTTACAGGAAAGTGAGTGACTGAGTGATTGAGTGAGTGACAGACTCGTCCCCCTCCAATAACTCTTCGATTGCTTCGCAATCTTCAAGTTAAAAATGCTTTGAAAACACACTGATAAAATGTTGTATATTCTAAATCATGAGGCCAAATGAAGTTTATTGTTTGAATTAAACTTCGCCAAATTCGCAGCAAAACCAAAATTTTCAACGAACTTCAAAACTTTGAAGTCGCGATGCAAAAGTGCTGTCACAAGTCCAAGAAAATAAATCAGAAATGATTGTTGACTAAATAATGTGACGAGTGATCAGATAAATACAAGATGAATTAGGATTGGAATAGGAGTTATCGCAATATTTGAGAAAGAACTATTGCAAAGCATCTACAGAAGTCGTATAAAGTTGATACTGCCTTGTGCAGCTTACAGAGTCCCATATAGGCAATGTGCAATATAGACGCCATTTTGCGCAGCAAAGCATGATGGTAAAATGGTGGGAACTAGCGGTGAACTAGTGTGAGCTGCGTCGGTGTTTCTAAAGAAACAGTTGTGTAAAAAAAGATAAGTTTAACACCGTAAAAAAGTATGGGAAATAACTTACTGACGTTTCGGATGTTAATCCTTCGTCGGAGTAAAGAGAGAGAACTCAAAGCATGATGGTAGTTGTAGTACTCGCACTTATGAGAGACCCTAAAATATCTCCCAAAGAGACGTTTTTACATTTTCTTAGTAGAAAAGGTAAAACTACTTTCATTTTTGCTTAGAAAAATCAAAAACTGCTAGGGAAGACTTTTGTAGCGGACATAAAAACGTACAAGAGCTACAACTACCATCATGCTTCGCTGCACAAAATGGTGACGCTGCGCATTGCCTAGTAGTTGGTATGCACGACCTTAATATGGAATAGAAGACAGCTAGTAAATATCCTGTTCATATTTTTGGACATATTTGATGCTGAAGAGAATTGTCTCCTAGGTGTGCGTTCATTATGAATCGCTTAAAGTCAATCATCTGGCGTCTTATCTGCTGCGCGTCCATGCCAAACAGTCTTTCTAGTCTTGTCCGCTTTGGGGACCGCTCATCAAATAACAACTGCTTTCTGATGTCTGCATTGTCCATCCTGTAGATGTGTGAAATGCATTTCAATTGATGAGAAATACAGACGGGTCCCAGTTATGTATTGCAGGTCCGTGTTCGAGTATTTAAATTTCAACTCTTGTTTCTCGTCATCGTTCTTGATTCCCACTCGGTTAACTCGGTTGACACGTGGGCTCTTCACGTCGCTGCACTTTCCTATTGTGGCATCATAGTGAACAATCTTGAAACAACATGGAGGATGGGGTTGACAACCTAGCTTCCCGTGAACATACGCGTTCTAATCACAGTAATAGTAGAAGACTCCTTTGCAGACGTTATAAGTGTCAGACGCTATTAGTATCGATCACTAACGACGTTAGAGGTGTGAGGAAAGACCGTGAAACTAAAGCCTACTTTTTGCAATTATAGTAAACTTGTCGCGCGACAAGCGATCGCAAACCCAAATCGCGCGCGAAAACTGGCTGCTTACACGTGCAATCAAATCGCGCATTAAAATCGTAGCGTAAACAGGCTGCAAAGAGGTGTGTATATGATAGTAGACGTATGACATACACTACTGACCTCATTCCAGTATAATACTGGAAATGCCACAATTACCAGAACAATACCAAACAGAGTAGCACCACAACTACTTTGAATTCTATCAAGGAAGCCAGGATTGCTCTTGTAAGCCACTCTTGTATGACTGTCCGTAAATTGATCTCTGATGTGCATTCCTGGATCATCAGGATGCTGAAACATATAAATATTAAAAAAAAAAAACAATGAAAACAGGAAAATCACTCTTACTATACATTGGAGATCAATGAGGTATCTCAGTTATAAAAGAAAATAAAAACATTTTGGTCAAGGTTTATCAGCTTTGTTCATTGAATGAAAGTTTCAAGAAGCACTCTGTAGGAGTAGCTGGCAGGTTTCTGGGAGAAATATACCTTTTCTTATGTCCCAGCCAGCTGTAAGTCACAACTGGTTTCCAGCAAGGAATTCAGGAAAAAAGAACTCTACAGGCAAGGAATACTTTCTAAGAATTTTTGCCACAAAAAATAAATGTTTCCAAACTAAAAAATATCATCTGTTTTTGACCTGAAAAAAGTTTGCCAGGAACAAAACTATTTTAAAGAAGTAAGGGCACCACATTACTTGTGAGATTTTCAACAATGTAGCTCAAAATCCCTTTCCCAGGAAAAATTGATCGTACAAGAACAGTTATTTACTAGAAGAATAGACTGAGCCTAGTCCCCAGATGTTCCTCCATTCTGTTATTATAATGATGTCACAGAGTGGCGCTCAAAGAGACTCGTCCCAGGACTCCCCAACCCAGTGTAGAACGCCTGGGGACTAGGATGGAATAGACCCCCTTGGCTCCTCCTGACTCTGCAGTCTAAGTTACCGTTATCAGGAGAATGCACAGGGTTCCCAGCCCTTCTTATTTAAATGGCAAAAGGTGAAAATTGGATGTTAAAATACACCTTCAGTTAATGGGTTGTGTTTTTGATCAGGATTACTCTTTGATCTTGTTAATCAGATTCCTTTTATAGAAATCAATTTCATGGTATTCTGTGCAGTACTCCATAGTTATTGGTTGGAAGTAGGACATCATATCTACATGTAACTGACTTGTAAATATTTTAACCTGCTGTTGATTGTGCAACAGACAGATATGATAATATGATATCTTAGCCAAAAACCAACATGACTAAATAAAAGTCAACTGTGATTTATGGTTAATCTCAGGATATGATATGCACTTTCTGATGGCATTTTCCACTTTTAAATGGAAGAATATCCAGGTTTAACTTTGAAAGGGACTGACATAAAACCAGCTTTGACTTTATACTCTACTACACTACTATCTAACTATATATTGGAAAACAAAGAAAGTACACCAACAACAACCCATTCAAGAAAACTGAACCTGCACATTCCATCCCTGTATAGTAAAGATAGGGGAGTCTCTCCCCCCTGTATACATGTAGTAAAGATAGGGGAGTCTCTCACCCTTGTGGGCCTCAATATCACAATGTTATTCAGGGATTGGTATAATCCCTGAGAGATCAAGGATAAGACTTGCCTTGGATCAACAGATCTTTGAGAAAACTATGACAGATATACCTTGTTGATAACTCCATTATCACGTCATTGTTGTCATGAAAGGTAGCAAGTCATTGTATATAGCATAGTCATTAGTGCTGCTTGTATCAAAGCAATGCAAAGGTTGAGTCTGCAGTAATAATACTTCTTATTCTAAGAAATCTCTTATTGCAATTAAGCTCAATCACGTGTTTCACCTTGATTTTTTTAGGCTGACCAGCAACCTTTCAAGATGTCATTGCTACTTAAAGTTATGAAAAGGACAGATGACATAAAATTATGCACGTATTCATAATTTCGAATGTATCATAACATATTGGTATGAAGCATAACACATTCAAATGTAAACATTTATTATAATTTTATGTATGGATGTTTTAGAGACCTAATATCATTAATAAGTTTATGAATTCAAATTCAAGTAATTAAATATCTTACCAATACAGTGTAACGATTTTATAATAACCCTTTCAAAATTTTCGGTTTCCTCTAAGTTGCAATTAAAAACATTTGATGTTCGATTGATAAACACAGCTGTTTGCTACATTCTAGGCCTGAGAAATGGTTAATTGTAGCTACAAAAAACGAGAAACTCAACTTACATGCGCTCGATACATCTCTTCTTAAAAGTTCTCTTCTTGATCAAACGAGAAAGAACGGTATTATAACATAGCAAAGAAATTCTAGCAGGTTTTCAATTGTGGTAAACTTCTTGGAAAGAGTCTAGGTTCTAGTGACGTCATTTCCGCAACTGTTTGGTGATCTTTTTATATGATCTTTGCAGATAAAAAAAGGCAACAATAGCTTATAATCGCTGCAACAAAAACATTTTGATTAACTATTTTCCTTTTTTCTCTTTCTGCCTTCCTTCTTTTCAGTTATTTACATTTTGGGCATCCTGTGCCTCTACTCGGTACCAGTTTTACTTCAGCGCTGTTTTCAAAATGGCGGACGAACTAAACGTAGAGACTCGGTGGAAAATGCTTCAAAAACAATGTTTCTATTTCAAACTTCGATAAATTTATATAAAATTAACAATTATGGAACACGAAGAGGACTGGGACGAGGTAAATCATCCAAGGTTTTAAGATCATTTGATAATATTTTGATACTAGATGGGATCATAATTCTGTCTCTCTCTAGGAACAACTAGTCATAGTTGAACTTGATGGTCTTCTGGAGCAAGAAGTACTGTCCAAAGCAACAACAGAGCATTGTAGACTGCTGGTGAGTAAGATATACAAGTATCAAGCACGTTTGAGTTCCCGGTGGTGTGGCCAAAGTGCTCATGTCACCCTTACTGATCAATGAGAGTAGAGACCCTCATACAGCTAGTAAAAACCCAAAGAATGTTGCCAAGTACTGGAATGTAATATGCAGATGTAGATGTAAATGTACAATTATTGGCTTGTTTATATTATAAATATAATTTATTGATTATGAAGAAATGACTTCTATGCACTATTCTGTTGGGAGTAACTATCGAAAAAAAAAAAAAACTCCTCATATTGACAATGGATAGGGCTACAGCTCAAAATCAAGTCATAAGTGAACTACCGGTCTCCCTGTGTTTTAAGAACGAGGCAATACATTATGAAGTGGCTACGCGGCTACGGAGTCATAAGTGAACTACCGGTTTCACTGTGTTTTAAGAATGAGGCAATATATTATGAAGTGGCTACACGGCTACGCAGTCAGAAATTGAATACCGGCCTCCCTGTCTTTTTAGAACGAGGCAATATAATTATTATGAAGTGGCTACGCTGCTACGTGGCTACGGAGTCAGATGTTGTTGAAAAAAATCAATATACATATTTTGGTATCCCTGTGTTTATCACTTCGTAGCTGCGTAGCCGTCTACAGGTAGAGGGTTTTTTTTTCGATAGTTATACCCTGTATTGAAGCTTATAAAGTATTCCTAATATTTTGCATATTTTGCAGGGTATAGACACTGATGAGCCAGTTCTTCAAATTGGACCTTACACTTTTGTTGGTCATTATGAAGGTAGTTCTATTATTTGTACTAATTGGAAACTTATGTTTGACATACAGTATAATTATTTATCACTCAATGAATCAACACATATTCCCATATTGGCAAATATTTTACAAACAACTCTCAGCTTTTCTCTCTTTGGACTCCCTGTGGAAAATGTGGTTGAGTGCTACTCTGATTTTCTCCCCTTCCTGTAAGTGTTCATACTGTTAAAATAGATTACTTATTCGGAGGACGACAGGTGAAACAAATAGGAAATGTACTCTAGAGCACATTTTGTGTGAATCTGCTAAACTTCCATGTCATTTGACCCTGCAGACGCTAGCTGTTGTTGTATTCTGCTGGCATTTATTTTTAGGTGCTGGTTCCATGACCTTGCTATGCAGTCCTATGAGATCACCTTTATACATTTTAATTCAAAATTTAATTTCATTAATTTTCCAAATGTAATGGCTTTTTTTTCTTTGAAGATGTCATTGGAACACATTGTATCTTTGAAGAAACATTCAGTAAGTTTTCCAAACTTTAAAAACTTTGATATAAAATATAATGTTTCCTTACTATTTTATTGTTTCATTAATTAATGTCTGATATTTCATTAGACAACAATAATGAGAAGAAATTCCAGTTTAAAGCCAAAACCAACAAATGTCTAAAGATGGGTAGGGCTTTTCTGAGAGACAAATCACAGGTGAGAATTGATAGCTTTTTTAAGAGCTTAAAAGCATGCATCAATTTTAAAAAATCGCAAGCTAAATTTATGAACGACTCGTGATGAGGACCCTATGAAGATCTATATTATTAGAAAAATCCAGGTTCAACTACACTGAATTGCCATTCTCATACCCGGATCCTTTTCCACAGTTTCCCAACAGAAAATTGAAGGCTCTGGTTTGAGTAGAAACCAGAAGTCCCAGAATCTGGGTCATACAATGATGCTGATGGCACATGGGAATTTTTTAACTAGTCAAATCAAAGACTTGTTTTTCCCTAACCAGAGCCATGACCAGGACTGGCCTATGGTGTCCCTTGTCCTTTGGGTACAGACTTACAGAGAGACATAGACCAGTCCTGGACATGTGTGTGCTTTTCTATTGAAAAACTGCAAAGGATCTGGGTATGAGATATAAATCTTGTAGCCATAGACAGTGATAGATCTGGCAAATATATATAAAAACACAATAGGCTATGGAAATGTTGACTTTCCATTTGTAATAGGTACATGTAGTCTATTTTGTCAATAAAACGTTTTATTTTAAAGGAGAGTTTTATTTTAAAGGAGATTGTTGGCAAGAATTCTGATGAATCATCAAGTTCTGACAGCTCCAGTAATGATGGTAATGACAGTGATGATGACAAGGATGGTGTCAATAATCAACAAGATGATACCCTTAGTAACAGTTGCCAAGGAAATGTTAGCAACATCCAACAAATTAGCAAAAAAACCAACAATCAGCAAGTTGGTAACCATAGCAACACTGAAGATGATAGCAGTACTTTTATAAGTCAACAAGATAGTAGCAGTCAGCAAGACTGTAACCATAGCAACAATCAAGAAAAAAGTATGGAAGTGGACTGACTTGTCAGTACTTGGAATTGTTAAGTCATGGATGTCATTGATATGTGTATAAAGACTACAAATTTCCTAAACTACAACTTTTGTAGTTGGCAAACCCAAAGTTGAAGGACTGTAGTGTATATAAAAAGCATTATTGCATGCACATAGAAGCTGTATTTCCATTATTATTGTCTATAAATGTGGTGTTTTGTGTTAAAGTATGTTCATTTGACACAACCATATTGGGCACAATAAGAATTAGTTCATGTATTTATAGTAGCTCACAGCTTTGTATGATTGAAGTCTTCAGAGGACAAAATGGCCATCCTTTTCAATAAACACTGTGGACAGCATTATCCCGTAAGCAAATTTATGCTGCAGCATGCTTTTAGTGAGTTTGCAGTCTGTCAATAAACATGTTATTAATGCTTCCAGAAACTTTTTAATATCATATAAAATGTATCAAACACACATTATGCAAAATTAATGTCCAGTGGTCTTTCCCATATTTTCTGTGAAGGAGACTTGAGCTACACCCTTTGAACAGTCCATACATATTATTAATAATATTCTAATTAGTAATATTATATTAACTAAAGGTATCTGCTCTCTAGCATCAGAGCCTTCCAAATTCCCAGTATTTCTGTAACAAAGATAAAACTGAGATTCTAGTTAAGTGGAAGACATAACACTTGAGAATAATCATACCCCAGGCATTCCAACTCTTCAATTTTTTTTTTTTTTTTTTTTTTTTGCATATTTTAAAATGTTCACACAAGCTTGTTTAAGTATGTTGCTTATTATTATTTAATAATTTAAAGGCTCTATTGTATACACACACTGCAATATCAGAGATTCCAATCCCCCATGATGCTATTTTTATTCTACTACTCCATATGCCAAGCCAAACAAGTTACGAGTAAATAACTGTAAATCAATGACGTCTGACTTTGTCTCTATTTTGAGCTCTGTACAGCACCACTTGGATGAATTTTAGGATCTCTGATATTGCTTATATTTTGCAATATGCTGGTGTACTAGATCAGTGCAGTGTTTTGCTCCAGTTGATTGGGCTTTGGCTTAGAAGCTTTCTTTCTTGTACATAAGCAGCTTGCCTTTCATGTTTTAGTTGTTCAGCCTTTCTTTCCATGATCTGTTAAGAAACAACATTGTCTACTAGCTTAGCTACATGTACTTATCAGTATTTAACTAATTCAAATAATCTTTCCTGGAGTGTGGATCAAATTGTAAAATCTAGGAATGAAGTCCAGGATAAATGTTCTGTTTATTATATAGTAAGTGTGAGTTTAATTATAAAATAATAGATTTTATAATTAAAGATCTGCCAATAAGGATAACTACCGGTATATAATTATATTAATTTTCTCACTCACAGATATCCTGAGCTTCAAGCTCCAAAATATTGATCCTAAATATATTACATTTTATGAGCTACTTTGGATAGCTTGATCTAGCACAGATCGGTAGGGGAAAGGGAAGACGAGATATCATGTAATTACCTTCTTATTTTCATCCCTAAATGTCTTCAAATACTTGAGTCGTTCATATTTGTCAACAGCATCTTGTTGTAAACATGCTTTATCATAGTTTATGGCAAAATCACTCTCTTTATAGCGTTCTTTGAGATGTCTTTGAAAGTTGTTGTCATGCTCTTGGATTTGCTGTTGAAGTGATATTCTATTATTCTTCCTGAAAATGGACAATGATTGTTTAAATGTGAACAAGGTGTATAAAACATCACTGATTTGGAATTAGTAAATGTTATTTTTTTTATTTTTTTTTGGGGGGGGGGAGGGAGGGAGGGAATTTGTATTTCATTTGTTTTTATTTGACACTGGTTTAGCAAGGACCCCTGCAAGTCAGCTGGTGACAACCACATTCCGTATTGATACATTTTTTTTTCATCTTTGAAATTATCACTGACAAAAAGAATATGATCAACCTGCTGTCTGGAGTGATATTCAAATGTTTAGTATAAAATTATATTTTAAGTGAAGTTCTAATTTGATAAAGCACCAAGCAGGAATAAAAAAGTATTTGTGTTTTTTTTTTTGGTGTTGTTGTTGTTGTTTTTTTATTTTTTATTTTATTTTATTTGACTCCTCAAAAAGACAGGAAGCCCGTGATTCTTAGTGATGCCTGCGGAGGAGGCTAGGCCCTTCTGTAAAAATATTAGAATTGACAATTGTTGTTTGTTTTGTTGATCACTCATGTTAAATCATGAAAAAAGATATGTAATTCAGGAGCAAGACTAAACAAAGATCCCAAAAGAGCGTGTGTTAGCTGCGTGTTTTTGAATGGAGGATTATTAAGTATTTTGCCATATCGGAAGTAACTTGGATGGTTTAACAACCCAATGATATATTAACAAAGTGTGTTGTCAATGGTGATCGTAGTTTGACAACATAATTTTTTTTGACAAAATTTGCAGCCTCGAAAGATTTACTCAAGAAAGAAACTCGAAAATTATACTGTCTGCAAACCATTTCGCAATTTCAGACGATAAGCTTTAGTTTTGACGATATTTGCCTTAACAAACGAGTGTAAATAATTTGAAGTACAATATGTACAATAATCGTTTACTGACACTTTGAACCTCACTCACACCTGCTCAGACGCATAAAAGACAATTACAATATCAAAGAATGATATCTAATCAAACAGACTGACTCCTTACCGTACTTCCTCTTTTGCTGCAATGTCGCCATACATTGCTTTTACGTATTGCTGGTTTCGCTGGCGATAAATCTCTCTCTTGTTCACAAGTTTAGCTTGTTCGTTGTCATGATTTAGGTCTTTAGTTTCTAAACTGAAGGTCCTTTTCACGTCTGGGGGCTGTAGAGATTTCGTGCTGGTCATTTTGATCAAAGAGGTGTTGTATTCATTCACTGAAAGTCAATGCATTTGATGGTAACCGCACGCTTTGCATTGAAATGGCTTTTCGAACCATCACCGTTGCCATGGTAACAAACCCAGTTAATGAATATTCTATGATTTTTTTAGACATCAACGTTGGAGGTTTTGTGCATTCTTCCCAAGAATGACATTTGAAGAAAATAGCAATTTATATTTTAGTCTCTAGTCCAGTCGTTAGATTTTCTTTTTATTGGCGTCGCAGAACAATGTTATCTAATACTGCTGCACGCGAAAAAGTCAATTACATTATCTGTGAAGTTTTTCTCTTATTATTCTTTCTTTTTTCTTTTTTTTTCTTTTTTCTTTGATCTATTTATTTATTTCTTCTTTTCTTTTCTTTTTTTGTTTAATTTTTTTTTGTTTACATTTTGACAATAACATCCGGGATACTGCAATCCCAGAAGGCATCACGAGGGTAAAGTGTGAGTCAAAACTTCATTGACAAGTGATGGAATCGCTGTAAATTCGTCCACAAAATTCCTGGTTTCTGGTGAGTTTTGGTCTTAAATGCGCGAATTTTTATTTACATATGTGTTAAATAATGCCAAACTATTATTCGTTGGTCAATTTTATGGAAAATGATCATTTGCAAAGCGCGTCTATTGATCATACAAATGGGGACAATTCAAAGTTAATAATAAGCTTACGCTATTCGAACTATGATATCAGTTAAACAAAGATTCGATATGGCTTCTTTATATTACAATTTATCATTTAGTAAGCGTTTTGGCATCTTCTTTTGTTAAAACCACAAAGTTAGTGAAATATATGATTTTTTTGACTTTGCGAATGATGGTCTAGACACGCACATGTACCATCTATTGTTGTGACTATAAACAGTGCCATTGGGTATTAAGTTAATGATCCAACTCGCGCTGTCATTGGCTGCTTTACCACAGGATATTAATTCATATCTCGTGAGGAGCAAAGCAAAGTTGTGACTGGGACATGGTTTTACTACATCAAACCATGGTCAATCTGAATTGAAGTTGGTCAATGTTTTAGACTTTTCACAAAGTGACTGGTAAATAATTCATCTGTGTCTATCTGTCAATTGAAATACTGTCATATCCTAATTCAAAGAACATATAGAGGATATTACATGAGCATGCAGAGATACGGATTTTATCTTCAAGTGTTGAAAAGATCTCTCATGAGTGAGCATATAGAACGAGTGCAACACATGTTCAGATAAAAGTTGTATCTCCAAGCAAACATGTAATATTCTATTTATCATAAAATTATATGAAAGCAAATTATGATTTAAAGTAACTTTTATTTACCTCCAATGAATAGAGATACCAAGAGTGTGTTATTTTCACTAGTGAAATAACAACTTTGCGTAATGGACAAATATGTATTTCATAGATAATTACTATATGATAAAAAGAGCTATATAATCAAGAGTAAGGTTAACATGTGCCTATATGCTGCATGTTTTATATGTAGGACTCCATACTGACCATTTACTTGTAAGAAATACTTGGACAAGAAAATTAAATTAGGACTGCCTAAAATTGGAAAAGGGCCTGACAGAGTCAGAGGAATTTTTCAAGTCTAATTTTTTCTTTACTGAACATTATGAAGCTCTTTTAATAATATTCCTGATTGTCCAATTAACAAGTATTACTGTATTTACTCGAATAGACGCCGCCCTCGAATAGACGCCGTCCTCAAAATATGCTGCATGTTTTATATGTAGGACTCCATACTGACCATTTACTTGTAAGAAATACTTGGACAAGAAAATTAAATTAGGACTGCCTAAAATTGGAAAAGGGCCTGACAGAGTCAGAGGAATTTTTCAAGTCTAATTTTTTCTTTACTGAACATTATGAAGCTCTTTTAATAATATTCCTGATTGTCCAATTAACAAGTATTACTGTATTTACTCGAATAGACGCCGCCCTCGAATAGACGCCGTCCTCAAATAGACGCCGTCCTCAAATAGACGCCGCACTTAAAGCTCAAAATATTAATAGACGCCTCATCTGGGTGCGGCGTCAATTTGAGGAAATAGTGATACCAGCAATGGGAATTTGTTTTCTTTTAGAAAATTTTTTATTTCGAAGTGACTGTACTTTTTTACAGTCAGCAGCTGTTAGATTCTGACCAGGAGGAGGACAAAAAAAAATGAAATAAACGCCATGGTGTCTATTCGAGTAAATACGGTATTTAATTTAAGCCAGCACATAAGCAAAAGCTTAATCAGTTATTGATGAAGGTATACTTTAATTAATTAATATTAATCTTTTGCTATTTATTATATATTTAATGAAAACAACACTTGATGTGGTTAATCAAATGATAAATCCCATCATACCTTATTCATACTGATCATGTGATTCTTTCATTTTGCGATTTCATAAATTGAATCTGTAATAAAATTGCAAAATTCATAGTTTGTGCAAAAATGCCTTAAGCAATAATTTTGCTACAATATGGAAATTCATGCTTGCCCACGAAATATGCCAATACCAGTTTGTGCATTACAAATATTAGTGTTAATGAGGTATATTATTTTTACAATTTTATTTTGTAAATTGTCAATCTTACAGTAAATTGGTTATTTTAAAATTAACGACCTGACTCAGTGATGTTAATGTTTTCATAGGTGGTGATGAGTCTTAGTTAGCAAGAGATGGCCGACAAGAGAGTTCACTTACAGTCAAATAAGGCTAATAGTAGGGAAAAGAAGAGAATTAAAAAGGAGAGGTTCCTTGCATTGGTGAGAGACAGGAAATTAAAGAAACAGATGGAAGGTGCTACTTGATTGACTTTTACTTTATTAAAACAGTTCAAAATACTGATCAATAAACATTGCTCATGTAAATTCAATTAATTATTGCTGTTTGCTACTAAAAGTTCATAGTGTGCAATTAATATGTAAGTTGTCAATATTCTACATTGGGTTCCCTGTACCATCTTAAAAAAATAGACAATAATTATGCCCAGTCTCGCTGAAATTCAGAGGCAACACTATCTTTCAAGATGGTGCAGGGATCAATCAAGGAGACTATTAACAGGCATGTCGGAATTATCAGGCATGTCGGAATTATGCTCGGATGCGGACGCGCATAATTGCCCCCTTTCCGCATAATTTACCAAATCGCGCATAATCGCGCATAATTCGTGTTTTTTTGTCCCATGTTATACCATTTTTTAAGATGACTTGCCTTCTACTAATGTTTTTTGTGTTCCATTGACTGATTTTTTGATCAAAAAGCGCTCCCAAACATGGTTATAATTCTCCGAATATAGTTTTGTTTTCGTCGGCTTCACAAATATACCAGGCGTTCAAAATTTCATAGAAAAGAGTCTGGGCACTAGCATTACTGGTCACCCTGTGCCTTACCAGATCACGTGACAAATTCCAATATGGCGTATGATACAAGTGAGATGCCAAGCGTGCGAGAACGAAAAAGTCTAAAAAGATCTTTCCTTCTGTTGGTACTGCCTTCTGTACTTCGTAACTAAGATAAAAACGGAGTTTTGCATGAAAAAAAAACGCAATAACTTAAAAATTTGTAAAATTTCCCAAAGTTTACGTTCCTGTGATGACGTCATCCCGCATAATTTTCCGCATAATTCATCCTTTTCTCCGCATAATATAGGGAAAAAATTCCGCATAATTTTGATTTTTTTCGCGCATAATTCCGACATGCCTGAATTATGCGTGAAAAAAATCAAAATTATGCAGAAAGGGGGCAATTATGCGCGTCCGCATCCGCGCATAATTTCGACATGCCTGTATTAAGCAATGTTCAAACCATGCACAACCATGTTCATTCATAAAGGGGAAAAGGATTACATTATATTGATAATTTCAATAAATGTTTCATACAATTTTGTGTTTTTCAGTATCAAGTGACGATGAAGGTGATGAGTACTTTATTTGGGAAAAATACCTAGAAAGACAACATGCAAAACCAGTGCCCAAGACTGCATTCAAGCATGTACGTTAGTACACAGTCCCTTTCTTGTTAGCAAAAAGGAATTACATAAAGATAACTCTAAAGGCTCTCCAAGGTTGTACTCACAGTTGTTCTTGCCCTTGTTGTTAATCAGGTCAAAGACACCAAGGAATCAGGTTTCAAATCAGGAATGAAAGTAGAAGCCAAAGATCAAACAAGCTCCAATGATTCCTACTGGGTAGCAACCATCGTCATGGTTTCTGGGCCATTGCTGCTGCTACGGTTCGATGGTTATAATGAAGATCGTAGTGGTGACTTCTGGCTTGATGCATCAAGTGAACTTTTACAGCCTATAGGGTGGTGTGCAAAAACCAACAATATCCTTGTCCCCCCTGAAGCCATTAGACATAAAAATCCCAACTGGGCAAAGTTTCTTGTTGAGAACTTGCGAGATGCAGTTGCTGCGCCTGACAATCTCTTTCATAAAGATACTAGCAACGAAAGTGAGTCTGATAGCCAGCTGAAAGTGGGACGAAAAGTAGAACTTCAAGACGTTTCTGATCCACTTAGATACTGGCCAGCAGTAATAGTTGAGAAATATGGTGCAAGACTTCGGTTGAGGTACTTTGGATATGAGGAAGAGGATCATGACATATGGGATGATTATCTGTCACATCACGTGCATAACTTGGGTTGGGGCAGAAAAATGGGACTGATACTGTGCCCACCAGAAGGTTAGACTAAAGATATACATATTATATATGTTATTTAACAGCTGGGAGGTCCGTATAGAAAAACACTGCCCAAGGTCTTGACAGCACGTACGTAAAAGACCGAGGGCAGTGTTTTCCTGTACAGACTGACCTACACGCTGGTAAATAACATTTTTTATTTTTTTATTTGTATTTTATGCAACTTTACTCGTAGCCCACGGGCTTTAGGAGACTCCCAATGTTTTGAGTTGTGAGAAATTCTTGTTCATGGACAAAATAACACGCTAGATTTACTTACTTGAGTTTTTTATTGCTAGTCAAATAAGCTTGTGATATGAATAAGCATGAATTTATGGTCTGCTGAGTCCATTTCTTTCCATATTTATAGTAGTAACCAGCTACGACTAACCGCCATCTTGAATTATACACTGGTATTCACCAGTCCTACGTGATTCTCTAACTTAACCGCCAAACATAAAAACCCCCAGGGTAGGCCCTAAGTTTGACAATGGGATCGATGGATTTTGTACCACGTGATCATTTTGAATCGTCCAAAGCTTGATGCAAGCTGTGTCGTCATCTAAAATTTCGTCCCTCTCGCATCGGGGTCACAAGTAAAATGCTTACTAAGAAGTTCTTCATCTCTGTAAAAGAATATCCAATAAACGAAGTTCRAAATTAATCTGTACGTAAATAACGAAATTCAAATTTTTAAAATTAACGATAAATCGATCAATTTAAGTTGTATTTACATGCTATCCGCCAAAAGCACCATTCATTATTCTTCGCTTGCAAAGTTATCAGCAAAATTATCTTGTAACTATTCACTTGACTATTTTTATAGCTGTAATGTCTGTAATCCTTACGGAAAACTTCTCAAAACAAACGGATTTGTATTGGATTCAAGGGGACAGGGTAGTTTCCTTATATGGGTGAAGGGGACAGGGTAGTTTCCTAATATGGTGATGACRCGTCATCASCTAGCATTGAGGATTGTACGATGGATTGGCACTTAGGGCCTACCCTKGRGGTTTTTGTGTTTGGCGGTTGAGTTTTAGCTAGGGAACCACGCCATTTGATCGGACGGAGGACTGGTGAATACCAGTGTATTGAAAATGGAGCATGGTTAGTCGTAACTGTTACTACTATAAATATGGAAAGAAATGGACTAAACAGATCATAAATTCCTGTTTATTTATCACAGGCTTATTTGACTAGCAATAAAAGACTCAAGTAAGTAAATAGTGTGTTATTTTGTCCATGAACAAGAATTTTTCATGACTCAAAACAAGGAGTCTCCTAAAGCCCGTGCGTAGCCTAGCAGCCGGATACCGTCGGACTGGGCAGATCGTGAAAAACCGGACCGTGCGCCAGCCAATCACAGTGCTCGAATGACTAGGATACCGGACCGAAAAAAAATAAATAATAATAATATCATTTAAAGATCATTGTACTATTATATTTCAACTGAAGGCACTAGGAACTTTATGGGTGCTAGTAACTACTTTAAAAGCAAATACTTTAATTTATTTTGTTTGTTTATTTTGTAGTAATGGACAAGTATTTACAATGGAAGACATTTAAAACATTTGTCCAGTTATGCCAGTCACAAAATTCAAGACAAACGCTAAAAAAGGTTTGGTTAAAACAATTTTAGAAAATTACAGAAGGTTTTATTTTCTAAAAATCACCGTTTGCGCTTATTTGATGGTGTATCTTTTATAGTTTGAGAAGATCCCAAAAATAACTGGTGTAAAACCGGGGATGAAACTTGAGATAGTGAATCCATTGGACCCTTCTTCCATGTGTACTACATCTATCAAGGAAGTACTCAATGACTATTTCTTTACCGTTGACTTACAACATGGAAGTGCAACTCGACAAGAATACATTTATCATGCACAGTCAAAGTATTTATATCCTTCTGGTTGGTGTGAAAAGAACAATGTTCCAGTGAAGCCTGCAGCAGGAGGCAAGTTGCACTTTTTATTGATCATTTTGGCCGTTCTGACATTTTGTGAAAATGAACAAATTATACTAAAAAGGGTATTCATCTGGGGATGGCTTTACTAAGCGTTGATAAAGTTATCAGTCAGTTAAAGTCAGTTAAAGAACCCTTTTTAATATAAATCAAACTAATAAAGGAATCTTCTACAGGCATTTCATCCGATAATCAAACTTTACCAGAACCTGCTCCTGACTCTCTATTCACCAAGGTAAATAAAAGTCATATAGAACTTTACATAAAATAGTCTTATTCAAAGCCATATGAATTGAACAATAACAAAATTGTGAAAGGTAGCAGTTTTTATAAGTAATAACATGGAATGAGGGAAATTAGTGATTAAATTTACCCAAAACTGAGGGAAAATTTTCCCGAGGTATCGGGGAAATTTAATCACTAATTTCACGAGTGACAAAAGAAAGCATTGAAAAGAAATTTTCTCTTTTTTACTAAATTGAGACTTACTCTGTATTCCCAAAAGGCCTAAGGTTTAAGCTTTCTGGGAATACAGGGTTTCCCTCTACTTGGAGAAAATGCAAATTGTTAGAGCTTATTGTAATGACAAAATTTTTTCATGCTTTTGCGTATAGTGTAACAGTACCTCTATTTTTGAAAATTGAGGCGAAAACAAGATTTTACATGATTAAAGAGTGCCTCTTTTATTGAACTGCACCTCTTTTTCTTGAAGGAACTTCAGAAATTTAAAGCTGAACCTGCATTTAACATCGGCGATATTGTTGAAGTCCTGGACAATGAAGATCCATCATGCTATTGGGTTGCAACTGTGACAAATTATACAACAAAATATAATCTCCGTTATTGTCCTTCAACTGAAGATTTCTCTGTCTATCGCTTCACTGATTCTGTACATCCATTAGGCTGGTGTAGAACCATGGGACTTCGATTCAAACCACCTAAAGGTGCAATATATTAATACCAAAAAACCTTTTTTATCATATAATTATCTATGAAATACCTACATTTCTCCATTTCGTAAAATTCATATTTTCCCTAGTGAAAATAGCACATTGGAGGTTTCTCTATAATAGTGAAAGTAAGGTGTTTTACGACATAATTTGCTTTGATATGTAATTATATGATAAACAGAATATTACATGGCCTCTTGGAGATACAAATTTTGTCTTGTCTTTAAATTTTATCTTTATCTTCGCTACGCTCACTCTTGGGAAAGATAAAATCCGTATCTTCGCACGCCCATGTAATATCCTCTATATTCGTACTAATTTTCACGAGCACTTAATTTTGCAAATTTGAAACTCAAATATTTCGCGAGCATTAATGTTTCGCTATTTTTTGGAAAAAAATGATACATTTAGTGCTTTTTATTTCGCGAAAATTGAAAAACAGGTGGACAGACAGACTAAAAAATATTTTTTTAGCAAATGAAGTAACTATTAAATTCGCGTGTTTAATTTTCGCGGATCATTTTTTTCGCGAGGTTTTAATGTCGAAATCGTGAAAATCGCAAAATTAAAGCCTAAAATTAGTACGAAACGCATTTCTATTCTAATTGATGTGTCTTTACGGGTCCCACAAAACCTGGAAAGTCATGGAATTTTGGTTTTTCATGCCTGGAAAGTCATGGAAATTCATTGAAAATTGTCTTGTTTGCCATACTGCTTAATATACATGTACTAACTAGTATGAAGTAGAATTTATATTTTGGTCGTGGAATTTGAGATCTTCAAAAGAGTATGAACCCTTTTATAGAACATATGAAAAAGGGCATGGCTGTCGTAATGCCTTAGTTTATAAGATATTTCATTATATCAATGTTACTACCCGTCTAAAGAACATATTACAATGAGTAAGATCTGAAGGTTTCAATGCTCTAACATTTAAGGACTAAAAATTACAGGTGTTTGGAATTGCAAAGGTTTGAGTGAAAATCAGTATTGAGGCTTTACCAGCCTCGTTTTCACGTTTTTTACATTTCAAATGCTCATAACTCTGCAGATATTCAACATTAGAAACTATGCATTGTGTTTTCTGTGTGTCAAAGGAGGGGTAAAAGTTGAAATTATTTTGACGTCCTACAATATGAAGAAACCTCCTGCAGTTTTCTAGTTGAGACATATACTTTTTCTAATAGTGAAACAGATTTTTAAAAACATGGACGTTTAAGATGCTCCTTCACAGTCTTCTGCTCGTTTTTCATATGGTCAACATTACACATTGTAAAAGAAAAGTAGAATAAAAATATTTGTTCAGCACATTTCCATTTAGATTGAACTCTAACGTAGTAATGTGGATTGTAAACTTGTAGGTTTACAAGGCTACAAAGAACATGCAACTCTTCTTGGAAGTGTGTTTGATGAAGAGGATGCTGCTACAAATGTAACGTGCAAACAAGACAAGGTATGCAGTACCACATCTTTTTAGTTTTGTACTGACGACATGGTCTTACAGCCCCAACCCCCTCTCCCCACGGTCAATGTTGTTGTTATACACGATGTCATGGTATTGAAGCATGAAAAAATAAAATAAAAAATAAAAATAGCCATGCAAAAGTGAACGGGGGCAGGGGGCACGTTTTTCTACCGAGTGGGTGTCGTGTTGTCAAATTGTAACTTTGTCACGGTAACACGTTGCAATGTCCCACATAAAATGTCTAGGATTGCAGGTTAACTCAACACTTAAGACAGTAAGCTACATTTCATTTCCAGGAAGATACTTTACCACCAACTCATGGCTTTAAACCTGGTATGCAGCTAGAAGCTGTTAACCCTCAAGATCCTTCATCAATCTGTGTTGCTTCTGTCATTGAATGCAACAGTGAACAATATTTCACATTGCAAATTGATGACTTTATCGAAAACAATAACCAGAAGAAGTTGAGATTTTGGTGTCAGTCGAATTCAAAGAATATTTTTCCTGTTGGATGGTGCAAGAAGAACAATGTGCAGCTCACCCCTCCTCCTGGTAATACTTCTCTGGTTGATTATAGTTTTAACTATAATAAACCATTAAAATAGAGGGGAATGGTTTGGAAACCTTTTGTTGAACTTCAATCTTTTGTACATCTTTTGTACGTATTTTGAGATTAAATCATCAGTCAAGACCGTGCACAACTTTTTTCTTACGGACGATGGAAATTGCAAAATGAGTAAACATAAGCACTCTCTACGAGATTATGAAATGAAATATTTCAATATTAGTTAAAAGTGTTTGTGTATTTTGAAGAAATAGTAATTTTCGTTCTGTTTATTCAGATGTGATAAGTATGGCTAAAGCAATAGTTAAACAAAAGATTGTGCACTGTCACGCTTGGAAAAAAATTGCACAAAAACCTACAACAAAAAGCTTCCTAACCATTTCCCTCTACAAACTATGGGTTGACGTATTGGATAGGTGAGCCAATTAGGTCTGATGTTTATCGTCTATTTTATTTCTAGGCAATCCATATAAAGAATTCATTTGGGAAGATTACATAAAATCTAAGAAAACTTCCGCTGCGCCAGAATCACTATTTTGCCAGGTAAATTTCACATAAACAGCACAGGTGTCAATGTTTATTACAAGCTTGTTGTATTCTTAGATAATCTTATGCTAAGTCAAAGAAAGTGAAGCGCGGTTATTCTCCACAATATTACAGAGTCGCAGAATAATTTTCGCGTCATGAATTACGCATTCACTGGAAAAAATCGCGCACTTAAAGGTTGTAAATTTGATGTAAATATGATGTCCAAAATGATGTAAATTTGATGTAAGTCACTGACATCAAATTTAGATCATATTAGACACTTACATCATGTTTACATCGAATTTACAACCTTTAAATGGTGCGAAATTTCAGTGATTATTTTTATAGTCTTTGTTGAATTGTAGGTGTCCCCCCCATCCAGTGATTTTGAAGTTGGTCTTAAACTAGAAGCCGTAGATCAAACTAATCCACAGACGATTAGCGTCGCAACGGTGACTCAAATCATTGGTGGTACGTTATGGGTTCGACTGGATGGTTATCAGAGCAATGCAGTAGAACAGATCTATGATGTAGAGTCATATAATCTATTTCCCGTTGGCTGGAGCAGTAATCACGGCCATCCTTTACTTGGACCTAAATTGAAAAGTCCAAGTATGTAACACATGTCCTGATATCGTGCTTTATTATTATTATTATTATTTTCTTTTTTCTTTTATTTTTATTTATAGTCTGTCATAACCCCTGCTAGAAAGCTTCATATGTTGTTTTCACGTTTTGTTTTAGGCTCAAAAATACATTCGCTGTGAATGTACGTTATTTATTTTGACAATGTGTAGATGTTAAGGAGACTTGATGTTAGTTCGCTACAATTTACACTGAATCATTATAGTTTTAGCTATGACAGATATTAATATTGAAGTATATGATTGTCAATTTTGTAGAGAACGAAGTTGAGCCAAGAAAGTGGTCCACATTGTTAAGGTATTTGAAAGACTTGGCGTTGCAGTTGTCGCTGTTGTCGTCGTTGCTGTTGTCGTTACTGTTCCTTCTGCTGTTTTTGTTGTTGTCGTTGCTGTGGTCGTTACTGTTCCTACTGTTGTTGTTGTTGTCGCTGTTGTTGCCTTTGCTGTTGTCGTTGCTGTTCCTGCTGTTGTTGTTGTTGTTGTCGCTGTTGTTGTCTTTGCTGTTGTCGTTACTGTTCCTGCTGTTGTTGTTGTTGTCGCTGTTGTTGTCTTTGCTGTTGTCGTTACTGTTCCTGCTGTTGTTGTTGTTGTCGCTGTTGTTGTCTTTGCTCTGGTTGTTACTGTTCTTCCTGCTGCTGCTGTTGTCGCTGTTGTTATTGTTACTGTTCTTGTTGCTTTTGTTGTTGTTGTTGCTGCTGTTGTCGCTGTTGTTGTCGTTACTGTTCTTGTTGCTTTTGTTGTTGTCGTTGCTTGTGTTGTCGTTCTCGTTGCTGCTTCTGMTGTTGCTGTTCTTGTTTTTGTTGCCATTGACTTTGGGAGCATTGTAATACAGCTAAAATATTTACTTAGGAAGAGAACTACAACAACTCCAGCTGACTCAAGCACTAATAAACGACGCAAAACAACTACAAAAGCCACCAATACATCAAAACACGCAGACAAGCCTTCAAAATCAAAGGATTTTTCAATAAGTATAGTAGTAAAGTCATCGGACAAGAGGACTACAAGACCCACTACACCAGGAGCAGCTACACCATCGTCAAGTACTGGGGATGATAGCTCCAGACAGGAAGTATGTTCCAATGATGATACCGATACGGCCACTGAAGATGAGACCCCAAAACCAACTACTACAATCGATTTAACGGATGATTATTCTCGGGTAGGAGGTGAGTTTTTTCGATTATTTCTATTATATGTTTCGTTTCTTTTGTGTTTTTGTTGATGTTGTTGTTGTTTGGGTGGTTGGGTGATTGTTTTTTTTTTGTTGTTGTTGTTGTTTTTTTCACTTTTTATGGTTACAGCCGTCTTATTTACGAGTAAACACTATGCTGTCGATTTGTAAGGAAGTACGTACGAATTTTCGGCACGGCTTCAGACACTGGTCATTTGAATTTCGTGAATATTTCTAGGGTTGGTACGGGTCCTTAAAAACTTGAAAGTCATACATGTAGAATCTCATGCATTTTAGTTTTGCTGGCCTCAATACCGTTTGAAGCAATCAATCAACGGATCACAAGACAAGAAAGAGCATAGTAAAATTAATCATTTTGACCGAGTTTAGGTTATTCTGACCATTTGTGTCGATGTGCCACCGAATTCTAACGTACTTCTAGGACCTTATCTAGCCCTTTTTAATGCTGTGGTCAAGATATCGGCCCTAACCAATCCATTAAGGACCTACAGGCTTTGCTTTCGTATTTTCCTCCATTTTTTTCATCCATGAATAATTGTTAATTGTTTCAGACAAAGAACTATTGTTATTCATCAAGAAATCATGTTCCTGTGGTCCATATTTGAACAAGAACAGACTATTGGCCTTACCTGACACCATAGGACCAGCCGCGCCTAACATAGTTCTGAAGCAGGTCGTGGAGCACGTAGTCATTTGTTCTTCATCAAGACAGAAAGTGTTAAATATATTATCAAGCGAGAAAGAGAAGCAATCATTTTTGTCGATTCTTAAGGTATTTGTTAAGGGTATTTCTTCGGATGTGATCTCAAAATTATGTCAATCACGAGTTGACTATTCAAGGGACTTGGTCCACCAGCATCCCTTTCGAGCTTATCCCATGTTTGAAAATAAAGATATACATCGTAATATAAGCAAAAAACGTACTCCCTTTGTACTACATGAATGGAGATATTTTGAGATTCGATCTTTAAACCGATGGATGGAAACGGATTGCGATTGGATATTTGAAGTCACCTCATTTTCCATATATAAACACGACCGCACTGAATGCTGGTGGACCATGTCCCTTTAATATGGTTTTCTTTTCCTTTCTTTATTGGTTTTGTTTTTCTGTTGTTGTTGTTGTTGTTGTTGTTGTTGTTGTTGTTGTTGTTGTTCCTGTTGTTGTTGTTGTTGTTGCTGCTGTTGTTGTTGTTGTTTAATTTGTTGTTGTTGTTGTTGTTGTTGTTGTTATTGTTGTTGTTGTTGTTGTTGTTGTTGTTTGTCTCACGTTTTTTGAGTTGCATGCTTGAGTCGGCAAGAAGTGATTGTAACAAGATCTATTGTACTTTTTCTTGCAGACGCTAACAGTGAAATTAGAGATTTGTGAAAACCTTTTTAGTCTGAATAAAGTGAATACATGTTCACGTTGCGATAAAGGTAAACTTGCATGTAGTGCTTTAAAGCTTGAACAAAAGAGCGTATTCCAGTATGGAAATGCATACCCTGGTTTAAGAGGGTTTTTTTTGTTTTGTAGACGTTTTTCTTTTACATACTTCGTAATTTAGCTTTCGATTTTTGTAAAACAAAAGAAAGACGTCTAGAAAAAAAAACCTCTGAAACCAAGGAAGGAAATGCATCGCTGCCCTTGGCAAAGTGTCGATTTTACTGTTTCTTTTAAGTTAAATCACTTTCATGTGGAGCCCACGGAGTCTGTCCTTCTTAATAACTGTTCTTGTACGATTTTTTTTCCTGTGAAAGGGATTTTGAGCTACACTATATTGTTGACAATATCACAAGCAAATGTGCGCCATTTTTAATTTGCCGTTCTTGGCAAACGTTTTTATCATCAAAAACGGCTTATATTTTTTAGTTAGGAAATTCTTATTTTCCTGGAAAAATTTTTTAGAAAGTATTCCTTACCTGGAGAATTATTTTTACCTGAATTTCTCGCTGGCAACCAGTTGTGACTTACAGCTGGCTGGGACATAAGAACAGATATATTTCACCCCGGAACCCATCGGCTCCTCCTGAACTTTCGAAGGTACCAGAGCTTGCATAGCCTGCCTACAGTTAGTTTGACGGTAAAGACCTTTTAGTGCCTCAAAACGATGTCCGACAATGCATTAGGAAATTGGAATACACTATCTTCAGTACTAAATGTATTTTACTGTAAAGCACTTATTTTGCTCGCATTTCCTTGCGTTGAAGCAAGAAAGCAACAGAAGCCATAACAGCAACAACAGCAGCATAATGATATAGTGATTCTATTTAATTCTACAGATCATATTACCACCACATCACCAACAAAACCCACACTCGCTAAACCCAGCAGCACGACAAATAGCTCTCCAAATAGTACAACCAAACCTACCACAAGACAACCATCTAAACTAAACATCCCTTTAGCAAAACCATCAACAAGCAAAATCATCCAGTCACCTTCAAACAGCACGATGGTTTACGGCGATGGCGATGAAGTGGTTGGTAAGATCCCGGATGGACATATTAGTGGCTGGAGCATGGATGACGTCATAGAGTTTGTAACTCCAAGGGGATGCAAAAAATTTGCTTCTGTCTTCCAAGAACAGGTACAGCACAGTGCAATAATTTTTCATAACATACAATGCAATAGACCAATCCCGCATTCGCTTGGATGAACACGAAACAATCACTTCATTTCGAGGCTGGAGTTTTCGACAAAAAATAAAAGTCCTCGAAATGAAGCCATTGTTCCGTGTTCATCCAAGCAAATGCGGTATTGGTGTATGATTGATTGATTGATTGATTGATTGATTGATTGATTGATTGATTGATTGATTGATTGATTGATTGATTGATTGATTGATTGATTGATTGATTGATTGATTGATCGATCGAGGGATGGAGGGATCGAGGGGTGGATGGTT